TCTATTCTCCTCTTGGGATCTTGGGCACGCACACACATGTGCCTGACGTGAGTTTTAAGTTGCAGGGTCCAGGACTCAAACCACAGTGGACTACGTGGGAGGCCAACAAACATTATGCCATCTGTTGTACCCGCAATAAAAGAAAATTCAAAAACAGAAGACTGAGTTTTTAATATGACAGAGGGTCCCAATTAAGGGGGGAACACTGCCTAAGAAAAAAATTGACGGAAATATGTCACATATGATATTTTTTCTTTTTCAAAATTGTTCCTAATTGGGCCAGCAGGTAGCATGGTGGGTAAAGGCACTGGACTCCTCCACATGATCAACCACAGTTCGAGTCCTGGATCCAGAGGCTTGCTCTCTCACTTTCCCTCGCTCTCAGTCTCTGGTGAGTGCACATGCCCTATAGCAAATAAAATAATAATTTAAAAAATTAAATCTTTAAAAGAGTATTCCTAATGAACTTGGGGTCACTTTATCATTAGAAAAATTAATTTACCAAAAGTTAATCAAAGGCGGTCTGTCTGAGCTTGAATGATACAGCCCTGCTGTTTGTAAGAAAACGTCAACATCTGGTTAGTATGTAGTGGGGGATTTGAAAGGGACACATTCAGTCAGCCCTGTGGAAAGGACACCTGTTCTGTGCTGGCCCTTTAGCACAATGGTTAAGAGCAGTGTATCAGGAGCCAGATCCTACGTGGCTGACCACGATCCAAGTCCTGGCTCTGCCAGATTGCAAACATGCTAGGTGATGGAAAAAGAGAACGGATTGCAGCGTGACCACGCCCCCTGCTTTCTCCTTCTCTCTGGCAAGCGCACGTACTCCTCAGCAATGATAAACCAGGCAGGAAGCCTCTGTCTTCAGGTAGCACGCAGCGAGCAGGGTTGTGGGGGAGACCCTGTCCTACAAGGCTCTGATTCTACGCCTAGCCGAAGCTGTCAAGTCCCATCCCATCTGCCAGACAACGGGCCCCTGTGTGGCGAAAAAGACCCTTTGGGATCTCTTCTGGATGACCCAGAACATGGTGCCGGCCCGCTCTCCCCTCCCTCGCCCCTCGTAAGCCATGTCTCTTATAACCAACATCTCTACTGCGTTCTTTAATCCCTCTCCATCTCCACAGCTCCCACTCCGTCTGCGGCTCACACCAAACACATCTTTATGTCCCCCCACCTCCATCACATCTCTGTCCACAGAACCCGGGCTGTACCTCGCAGCCTGACATCTGGGAGTCATCTCTCACCAGCCCCCACCCTGCAACACCCGCCCTCAGCCCTGAGCAGGCCAGGCTGTGTCGTGCCTGTGTTCCTTTAGCTGTCCTTCCCAGCTGCCTGTGCAGGCCTCTCGACCTGGCCTGGCTCTGCAATTGGACAGTCTTGGTTCAAGGCCCTCTCTACCATTTTCTATCAAGGGTCTTTGGATAACTTTATCCCTCTGACCCAGTGTTTCCTGAGATAATAAGTTTAAATCACAACAGTGCTTTAGGCAAAGCAAGATGTATTAGTTTCCTATCACTGCTGTAACAAATGATCCAATTCAGCAGCTTAAGACAATACAAATGTATCATCTTACAGTCTGGAGGCCAGATATCCTAAAATCGAGGAGTTAAGGAGATCTCGTTCCTTCTGGAGGCTCTAGCAGAGAATCTGTTTTCCTGCCTCTTCCAGATTCTAGAGGCCTCTGCTTCCTTGGCTTGTGGCCCTCCCTCCAATCACTGTGACCTCTGCTCCTGTGGTCACAAATACTCTGAAATAGATCCTCCTCCCCCTGCAATTACACTGTGTCTACCTGGATAGTTCGGGGCAGTCTCCTTATCTGGACGCTTAACTTAATCACTTCTGCAAAGTCCCTTTTCCTTTTAGGGCAATGTATCACAGGTGTCAGGGGTTAAGACATGGACATCTTGAGGCCAGCAGATGGTGTGGTTAAGGTGCTGGACGCCTATGGGGTGGACTGAGGTTTGAGTCCCGAATCTGGGGGCTTGCTTTCTCACTTTCTCTGGCCAAATTTTAAAATAATAATAATAATAATAAATAAAGTGAAAAAAATTCTAACAATAACAACAACAAAAGGGTATGGATGTCTTTTGGGCCCATTCTGTCGCTGAAACCTTAAACTTTATTTTTTGCTAGAGGCTGGGTCTAACTAAATAGCCCACGTTGGCCTAGAACTCATGCTCCTCCTGCTCGGCTTTCCAAGGAGCTGGGATTTCAGGTGTGCATGACCGTGCCTGGTTAGCCATGACGTAAGATTTTCCCCTAAGATGTGCCTCAGCACCAGGTCCGATGGCTTCTCCTTTGGGGTCCCTTGCACAGGCTGCTCCCAGCATCTCCCCATTTCATTGTATTTATTTCTGTCTTACTAGACCACAGCTTGCTCAGCACATATATATATATATATTTTAATAGACCACAGGTTAGTTTATTTTTAACACCCTTCATGCCATGAATTCATAGGGAATACGTTCCAGTAGCTCAGGCTCCTTTCCATTGGTTCTCACACAGTGTGCTTCTCTGGGTGGAGCAGGCTGGCGCTTTAGTTGAACCCAGGTCCCTTTCTCTTTGGCTTCTTTCTTTTTCTGGTCATTTTCCTTCACACGTTTTAGGAAGCTACCTCTGCTCTTAGAATGCTTAATATGCTCAATACGCACATTGATTCTCTTGGCAAGAATCTTGCCCTTAACTTGTTCATGACAATGCCAACAGCATGCTGGGTAACCTTGTAGACTCTTCCAGTTTGGCCATGGTCACATTTGTGGGGCATTCCTTTGTGAACAGTACCCATTCCCTTGATGTCTACAGTATCACCTTTCTTGTAGATTCGCACATATGTTGCCAAAGGAACCACTCCATGTTTTCTAAAAGGCCCAGAGAACATACATCGGGTGCCTCTCCTCTTCCCCTTTGTGTTCATCATTTTGGTGAATTACTGGAAGATGGCAGTTCTGGCCAAAAGGAGCTCAATGCATATCTAACTCCAGCTCCTGCCTAGGGCACGGCACCACCATAAGGGCTCAAAAAATGTTTATTCAGTGAATGAATGAACAAACTCTTCTGACCTTTTAGTCAAAATCTTTTAAAAAGTTTTGCTATAGGTCATGTGCACTCACCAGAGAGAAACAGAGACAGAAGGGGGAAAGTGAGAAAGCAACCCTCCCCCTCAAGGAGGAGAGCCACACTGCAGTCCCTTCTCTATTCTCCTCTTGGGACTTTGGGTTAGTGAGCACACGCGCTTGTTTTCTAAGCCTCCGGTGCGGGACTCAAACCATGCATCCAGCCATGTGGGATCCAGCCACCTTAACCAACATGCTACCGGCTGGACCTCGGTCAAATTCTCTATGATTCAAATACTATGACAGTTGTCAAAATCGGGCCTTTTAGACAACAGAGGAAGTCCAATGGACAGGCACCCGGCAACTCTGCACCAAATTTCCTGTGGGCCTGGTGAGGCCACGCGTTGTGTAACATGCTAACCCCCACACCTAGCTGCCTACCAGCCTTGTCTGAGGAGCTTGTCACAAATGAGGTTTTCTGAGCTCTGGTACATGAGACCCTCCTTCCCTGCCTTTAGGTTGCCACGTGAGGGACTGTTCAACACGACACAGCCCCCTGACGCCTGGAAGTCCGAGGCTTCAGCTTCTGCAAGAGAAATCAGTGTTTTCCTTGAGTGCGGGTCTGGACAGCAAGCTGCAGTCTCGTGGGCCTGCCGGCGTCTGTGCAGCTGCTATCGGCTGTGGACGTGGCGGAGAAGAGACAACCACGCACTGTCGCGAGTTACTCAGTCAATAAAGGTCAGCAGACAACAGCTTCTTGTTCCTTTGTAGGAGCAGGCGCCTGCGCCCAGGTGATAATCGGGTCGTGGAAAGCAGACCTTGGCCGCGATGATTAACTGGTAGCAATTATCATTAGTTGCTAATAGATACTCCACTGGTCAAGGCTGCAGTGATTCAGATTCTAGAAGACAGGCCGCCGGGTACACAGGTGACTACCATCCCCGGTAATCACAGGGATGGG